AAATACTGAGAAAGTGGAAATAAAAAAGAGGAATCAAGGAACAAGTGAATTGGTTAAACAAGGCAACATTCTTTTCTTTCGCAATCTCTTAAAGCTCAGCGCGCTCCTTTACCATTCAAAGTTATTAGACAATCATGCAATCTGTCTGTGTAAGCTGATTGTGAGAATCTGAAATCCCTTCAGTGGAGATCAGACAGCCAGGGCTCAGGTACATTCTGTATCCTGGAATAATTATGGGATTTAAAAAGATGTTAGGCTTTGTAAGAGCTTTCATTGTGACATCCTCCAGTGTCTGACACAGCAGACTCCTGAAAGTCACAATAGCTCAGAGGGCTGGAGAAAACACTAACTTCTCAAGTACATTTTAATACCCACAGCCTTCGTGGCTACTAACCCCCCACCACCACCACCTTTTATTTAAATAATTGTATTAAACAGCGGCAGTCCGACTGGTGTTTCTGGATCTTCCTGAACTGCTACTAGTGATTGTTGACATCTTTTCTCTTATTGCTCATGTTTTTCTTACCTGTGATCTCATCCTGTCTTTTGACTTTTAAAGATGGGGGGAAACTGAAAAACAAAATCATATGAACCTGAAGAGAGCATGCAATCTCCACACAGACAGACACAACCCCACAAACCTCCACAAACTCAGATGGAGCTGTGAGTCATATGCAGCTCTCACAACTTCATCACTGTGCCGCACCTAAGAGCGATCTTATTAAATTCAAATATTTATGTCTTAGTTACTGTATTTGTTCAATAATCCCAGGACATTTTTGCTCCATTTTGACTTCAGGAGTACAATAGTTAAAAGAGTTAAAAGCTCCCCCTGAGAAACACGGGCTGCCTCCAATCTATCTCTGAGAATTCCTGCCAGTGTTTAATCTATAGTGTAAGTACAGGATCACTTGTATTTACACACTGAAAAGACATTGAAAATGGGTCACCAAAACACAGTTTCAGAAAGGCAGCTGGGGATGTAAAAAGTGCAAGAGAAACCAAGTCTTGAGAGATGATCTTTAACAGTTTGTGTTTTCTATTAAAGGGAAGCGCTGAGCTGGCCTGTAGTGCGACTGTGTAGTGTATCACTCTATTCACAGGCAAGCAATTAGGAAGGAGCCCAGTCCCACAGGTCATCAGAATACACCAGATGGGGGCAATTTAATGCACCAGTCAGGCATAACCTGTACATCATTTAGAGAACGCAGGGGAGCATGCAAACTCCACACAGTCAGGTTCCAAAGGCCAGGATCACACACACCCCCCTGGTGCTATGAAGATCAGAGCTAGCCACCACTCCACCGTTCTGCTCAGGCCTGGCACTCGTTTTCCATTAACAAAAAATCCCACAGAAACCCATTACCGCTCTGGACCTGATCAGGATACAGACCCAGGCTTGCAGAGGTACAAGGTTATCAAAGCCAGTGGATTAAGCCACCATCACTGAGCTGCAGTCAATGGCCCTATATTTCTATACGGGCTGTGAATGTATTGGAATAATTTATCTAAAGTCTTCCAGAGAGGTGTATGGAATCGGCTGTGTTGGGTTTGTTTACTCTGGCTCCTCTGACGAATTGTCCGTCTATTCCTGTAGTTAATCAATTAGGAGATCAAAGCAAGAGAGGGTCTTTTTTCCACTTGCTCCCTCACACTGCAGCAGGAATGGCTGCCTGTATCAGACAAGCAGCAGACCGAAATAGAGAAGAAGAATGGAGAGAAGAGAGTGAAGCCGACAGCAAGAAAAAGAGGAAAATAAAGAGGCTGAGAATCCTGAATGAAACCAACATATCTGTAGGAAATTGCTTCTGCACACACCCCAGACACTGCCATATACTTATTTTTCTGTTCATTACCCCCGGAGAAAACTACATGTTAATGTAATGTATGCCTGCAATGTATTTTATAAGTTTGTGGAAAAGTTTTCACAGTTTAGGTGAACCTTCCTCCTTTTCCTGTATGAAAATAGTACAAAGTGAACATTTTTAATCAGATTGTTTTTTGCAGTTATTGTTATTTTCATGTTTAAAAGAGGGATGTTTATAAACAGCATTGAACACCACATTCTGAAAATGAGGTATTACTAGTAAAGGGACCAATTCATCGCATGGCCTAATTTCTACACTTTTAACTACATTACCCCATATTCTGTCTTTTTTACTTTCCCACATTGCATAGAAAATGAAGATGATGTGTCAACATAAACGCCTACATCTTTTTGATAAGTAGTGCTATTTTACATTTGTAAAATGGGAAACTCAGACTTTATAGATGCAGACTTTATTTTAAAGCAGCAGCTGAAACTGTATTTGTGTTTACTTAGGATATGTTGCTGCGGTAAAGTACCTATAAGTGGTAAATCAGAAAAAAAGCAGGTAAAAGCAAGGAGTCACCTTTTGGCTGTTAGTGGAAAAGAACTATCCGTAGAGATAAATCACTCAGCAAGACATGAACTCAGGTACAATTATATCATTTTAGTGGCGAAGCTCTGGTTTTTGAACCCATAGTTTTCGCAGTTTAACGCTGAGTTAGTGTCTCCACTAACAATCTATGAATGCAGTAACAACAAAAGCCCTAGGTATCTGCCTGCCCCTCATCAGCTCGGCCATCAAGATACCATCATACATACTGAGGTTGCTCTTAGCTACTTTTTGTGAGAGAGCTGAGAGAGTGGAGGTGCTCACAGACTGGTCTTTCATAACCACTGCCGGAGTCCAGGAGCTCCTCTGCAAATGCTGTCCACATTACATCACAGGACAACACACTAGATGATATAAGAAATTTCAGAAAACATCATAATCACTTTTACAGCTGAAAACAAGGCAAAGAACTAGCTGGTGGAATTATCTGTATGCTTGATATTTAAAGTGTATTAATCCATCAGAAATCTGCCTATACCATCTCTCTTAGAAGAGCAGTGTTTTACACCATTTGTTTGTTTTTTTCTTTTGGATACCAATGTTACAGCCCAGCTTTACTTGATTGTAAAGTACTCTTATGTCATCCAATAAGAAAAAACAAGCCAGAGAAACGGGATTTAATTGAGTGTTTAAAAATGATGTGTAGCTGTTTCCAACATCAACCTTAGCATCAACGAACCAAATGATATAGATTCAACATGTTGGATTGCAAAACTAAAGCACTCTGTTGTGTCGGGGTTTAAAATGTTATATTGTAAAGGTCATTAATATCCTTCTATGGAAAATGCAGTTCTAACTAGAATCCAACAGCACCGGTTACATATAGGACAGATCTTGTGTGACAGCGAGGGATTTGCAATAGATAGAATTCCAGAGCTCATGGCTTGGAGCCAGACCAGATAGAATTTGTTTGTTTAGTCTTTAAGTTATGTTGTAGACAGCAGACAAGGAAACAGACTTTTAACAGACTATGAGTTCAGATTTGTTTTAGTTCTTGGTAATGAATCTGCCCTGACTTTGCAGAAATGAAAAACGAAAATGTGGCTTTCAATGGATATGGGCCTTCAGAACCCAGCAAGGACAGCCCTTCCTCTCACCTTCAGGAATGCAGTTCTTATGCTCGATCATTTGTATTTAAAAGTTGAATTTCCTTTGAAAGAAAAGTGCTGTCCATTTCCTCTTTAAACCCTAAAGCGACAGACGGACAGCAATGAATCAGCTGTCATAAAATCAGTAAACCCCAGCGGCCACAAGCAGGGCTCGAATGTCCCTTTGTGAAGCCCAGAATGTCTTCAAGAGACCCTGCTTTGTTGCAGGGGGAGAGTTGACTTGCGTATTGGACAGAATTTATGTTGGGTCGTTAAGCAGTCGCTGTCACAGTCACAGGAAGTGCTGATATTTTTAGGTTTTTGATTTGACTGCTGTTGTCACGATGATATGAATACAGGACTATAAATCCTTTGATGATATATTTTCAGATTGAAAGGGGCATTCACTTCCGAATAGGACTTACAGTGATGCCAAAAGCAAAAGGAGACAAAAAAAATGTTTTTGATGTGGAGTTTCTGCTGACTGAAGACTGATTTTTAAATGCAAGCATTCAGTACAGTGCAGCGCTAGAATGTGATGAATAAAATGATAGAATTGGTCACAAACAAAATGCAGAGTTTATTATGTTTAATATTGTAAGACATTAAGTAGGAATAATTGATTTTTTTGACCGATGTCAAAACGGGCTAAAGACTATAGTTTACTGTTCGGGCTTCCCTCTGTTGCCCAGTACAATAGGCCTAACCCCTGCCACTGCCATGGAGACATCATGAAAAAGACCTCAAGGAGAGTCAGCAGCCAGAGCGAAGCAGTGTGTGCATCTGTGAACACTCTCTTCCACATGAGCCAAGAGAGGAGTGAATTTGAAGAAGGAAGCAAAAAACAAAGAAGGAAAGAAGAAAGAGGAAGGTGTGTGATCATTTTAGAGCTTTAATTGATAACATTACGCCAGTGTTACAGGAAAGACATCAACAGGCTGAAGGTAGTAAATGCCAATACAAGTTCCCACTACTCTACTACTTCATACAGCAGAATAAATTATGCCATGATAATATACACACATGCTGAACAGAAATGTAATAAAGCAAAACACAGATGCAACAAAAACAGCAAGTAAACAGGTTAGGAATCAAGGACTGGAGTCAGATGAGGAGGTTGGGTGGGGAGCAGAGGGCAGGAAAGGGGTGTTGAGGTGAAGGGGTACAGA